GGAATCCACAAACAGCAATGTATTGAGGCCAAGAGAGTGTTCTGGAGAAATATTACTGTATGCTTGCTCTGTTTTCCTGGACACTTAGTGTTGGTGACTGTCATGAGATGGCTTTTCTTCGGCTGTCGTGCAGCCATTCTTGTGTTCAAGTACTTGTGTACTGGGGTCAGTGCAAACCCCTTTTTTGCTGTTTGCCTCTCTGAGCATGTATCTGACAACTAGCAGCAAAATAGGTGATGTCATGTGCTACCTGTGCTTGTGTTAAAACTGACCTGGCAGATGTGGACCCTTTTGGGCTCAAGAAGTCATGGACTGAATACTGTTGTTGTTTGTCAGAGGAATTGCAACCATTTTTGGAGTTACGTTATTATCCTGGGTTCTGAACTAGAAAGCGTTTTCGCTGCTGAAGTCACTGATGAGTTTGGGTCCGCAAAATAAGTCTGTCTGATGAGACTTTGATAGCACTGTTGTAAAGTGATGGAACAGAGGTGACTGTTATCTGACTTTGAATCGAGTAGAAGTGGAATCAGAGCGCCCTTTCCTTATTGTGGTTTTGCAACTAAGGAAAAAGGGAGATGCTGACATTTCAGATTGAAGCCCACTTGGCACCTGCTGCTTTGCTTCATGTAGCTTCCTTACTCGGTCTGTTTCCAGGGACACTTGGTACTCAGTATTACGTACCTTTTCACCTGAAAGGTCTGACATTTTCTCTCTCCCTCTCTTTAATTTTTTTTTTTTTTTTTTAAATTGTAGCCCTCTGCAGTCACTTCTATGTTCATATGCAATTAAAATTTACCTCTTAGAAGAGGAGGCATCTAAATTAGAGGAAGAAAAAGAAACATGTAACATGTACTTAGCTTTTCTCTCTTATATGACTGTTGTCACATTCCTACTCTGACTGATTTCAAAGGTTATCAGCCGCCTTGGTTCTCTGGGATAGATGGTAATAGTGCTGGATTGTGAAAATGCCTAAGTTTTGGGCAGGATTTATTTTCTAATTAGAAGTCTGGAATTCAGAAGGGGAAATGGTCACCTGAACTAGAGAGGCTTTCTTGAATCAGCTGAAAGCCCTGATTTACTCCTTGTTTTTGTAACAACTATGTCCAAAAAAAGTAGGCATAAGTCTGTCCCTCATGACTTGACTTCAGACGTTTTGGTTGCAAACAGAGGGACATCGCCTTTGACTCTTCTGTGACAGTACAACTTTTTCACTTTATATTTGGTGACTTAGCTGCTAGAAACCCATATAGGAAGTGTTGTGAATTGTTAAGTGTTGCTGGTATCTCATGTTTGTTTTACTCTTGTAACATGTTGGAATTAAATTATTTTTTCTTTACATTTCAGCCCAAGTCATCCAACTTGATACTTCTCTGCATAGTTTTTTCTAATTTCTTTGTTACAAGTCGCTGCTATAGGAGAAATTAACTTATTTTTTCAGTAAAATTCTCCTTACTTTCCCTTTTTCTTCTGGAATGTGGAAAGTAAAACAACTAGAACCCTTTCCTCTGATTCTTGAGAACAAGTTCCATAACGTATATAAGAAAAAAATAAATCTGCCTCACCTCATGAGATGATCTTAAGTTTCTGCAGTCCTCTTCAAAAATTGAGTCTGGGGCCTTACATTTAGACTTTTTCTATAATTCTGTTAGGCTGACCATATAGGTATCTGAGGTTTATGTACAGTTGATATGCAACGTTATTTTTAGGTAGAATCTGTCATTTCACATCTTATGACCAAATGCCTGTACTTACTTAAAAAAAATAAAATAAAATAGAGCTGTCCATGAATGTTCCATAACTGGAGGGATCCTCATGTGTGTTCTTCTAAATGCTCCTGCTGGAGAAGTCTAAGCACAACTGAGTAAGCTGGAGCTTGTGGTACCAACAGCTGCCACATTGACTTGTTACCACTGCTTCTTGGGCCAGCTTTTTGGCATGGGAAAGTAAGTTTCTTAGCAATCTCTTCCAAGTTTTCCAGAACTGGATCAGCTTGGTGGCTTGATTCACATCATGTTATTGGAGTGTATCTTTTTGAAAGATACTCAAAAGATCAAAGGGTTGTTGTGGAAAAGTAAGCTCTCCACAAACAGTACCTTTTGCCATAAGATCGAAGATTTTTGCTTGTGGGAGTCTGCCCTGTTGAGCTCTGTGGTTTCTGTAACAGCATCTAAATATGGATGTGCTTTTCTATTCAAATACAGTAAGTATTATAACTTAAACATCAGGACTTTTTATTTGCCTATCCTACTAAAAAGGCCACTATCACTTTTTCTTCTCCTAAAAAAAGAAAATATTTTACAATTTATGTAACAAATAACGGTAGCATTTACAACTCTGTGATCACTGATAAAACACAAATGTAGCCTGGTACTCTGCTGTATTTGCAGCTGACTTTAATATACAGTTTAATAAACGGTATTTTTTTTTTTTAAAAATACAACATTTGTGAAGATAGAAAACAATATCCTGAGCTGTGTCCCGCAAGAGAGAAGGGGTGTTGGGATGTGTATGTAGGTATGGATTTTATGGATTGGAAGCTTGACCGAATGAATTATTCTTATAGATACTTTTATCAATTTCTAAACATGTTTTAATAGGCAGTAGTAGTCACCATAGTACTGAAGTAAGAGTTGGTAGATGACATGCTTAAATGATTGTGTTTGTTGTTTTTTTTTCTCTCCCTCCCCGCCCCTTTGAAATTTAGGATGGTGCAACAGTTTTCAGTGGACTTTGAAAAAAGAATTGAAGGATCAGGAGATCAAGTTGATACACTAGAACTTTCAGGAGGTGCCAAAATCAATCGTATTTTCCATGAACGCTTCCCTTTTGAACTAGTGAAGGTATTTATCCATCTTGCTGGTGTGCTTTGTGTTTTGTTTATGTATTCTTACGTTCATGCTGATAGTAGTAAAGCCAAGATATGGTCTGATTAGAAGAACATGCTCTTAACTGGAAGAAGTTACATCAAGTTGCAGCTGAGACATTTGGCTTAGTTTCTAGTTTGGGATACTGAGACATGCTAAGAATTCTGAAATATAGGGATTACAATATAGTTATAGTCGCAGTTCTTACTATTTGCCATGCTTTTTTATTGTTTTATCACAAATGGCATCTTCCTTCTGTTTGATAGTGCAGGCAAACAACTACAGTTGGTAAATTTAAGTTGTGTTCAAGTAGCTAGTTCCTATTAAAATCAGAATTGTGGAAAATAGCTATTTTCTGTATTTTCTGTATTTTCTACTTCCTGCGTTCAGTGTATTAAACCAAAGTCAGCTTTCAGTCCTACACTTTCATAATGGGAGGTGGAGCAGAAGCAAATTTGGTGTTTTGAGATAACATTTCTCTTCTTGATATATCTCTTCTTGCTTACCCATCCTTTGAGTAACAGAATAAACGGAGGTCCAGTGGGGTGTGAACTGGTGAAACCTGGTTTCCTATGAATTTGTGTTACATATTCTTTGATTTTTTCTTTCACAGCAATGACTTCAGCTTCCCCCCATCCTCATTCTTTCACACTTTTCCTAAGCTTCCTTTCCACCTGTTTTATGTTCGACTGCCTTGACATCCCCTAAGTTTCAGTTGGGTGAGAACCGGACAGGGTTGTGGCTGGTTCCAGGGTTTAAATGTGGTAGGTCAACTTGCAGTCCAACAGAACAGATGACAGTTGGTCTTAGGTAATGACCCTTCTGTTTGTGACACACTTACTTCTGTTCCAGCTGGCTGGCTTTCAAGAAACTTAAAGAAAAGCTTTATAACTTCATAACTAAGACTGCTTCTCTCTTAAATTTGGTTGAAAAACAGTAGAATAGTACGAGAGGATAAACAGACCATAATCATAGAAGTTGCACCACTTTAGGAAGTCAGGCTTAAAAAAAAAAAAAAGTTGCATCTTCCAAATCCTGTTTCTGGCTAACTCTTATCAACTCTGCAAAATCGCGTATCTGGAATGGAAGGACAGAAAGTAACAATCCTTACCGCTGCCTGTAGCCTTAGTGTTAAAATGTTCTACGATACTTATGCTTTCTTTAGCGTAATTAGAAATGAATATTTTGCCAGTTGAACTTGCCTGTTTTCCAGTTATATTAGGAGACGTAATATTTGCTGCTTTATTAGAAACTTACCCTAGTGTGATCTCATATGCTTTTGTTCCTGTAGATGGAATTCAATGAGAAGGAACTGCGGAGAGAAATAAGTTATGCCATCAAGAACATACATGGTATCAGGCAAGTGCTCCCATGTTTTCAAACCCAGTCACATTGTAGAGGGTGTGATCTCTCTAACTGGTGGACACTCTGGCTGTTGACTGCTGGACTACGTTACTAACACGCTGCTCCCAGCGACTGACTTTTTTTCTTCCACTCCTTTACACGTCTGTTTTTCAGGTAGCTATTTTGGGCCAAACAGTTGGTTTGCCCAAAGAGGTTTAGTTGACCTGGAAATCCTGGAAAATTATTTTACAGAGAAAATCAATTACTTTTTTTTTTCTGGTAGTGTCTGCATTCTGTTAAGCCTGTATTCCTGAAAAGTCGTAAGTTTTAGAGGGAAAACTTGTCTTGATACGGAAAAAACCTTTCAGCTTGTGTTGTGGCAGACTCCTTGTACTATCTTACTCCCCTTTAATCTCAACTGTTTCTTGAAATGACTGATTTACAAGTGAGTTGGCTGAGGTGTCACTTTGTGGATATGTCTGCAGTATATTATTAGGTTTGGGAAGAGGAGGTATTTGGTTTTTTGGTTTGGAGTGGCCTAATTATCTCACTTTGGAATGATCAGTCTATTTTGGAGGGACGCTTTATCAGATGCATACCCATTTTTTGTTCTTTTGACAGTAGAATAAGTCCCAAAAAACTTGGGTTCTTATTTTGTGGTTGGGTTTTTCTTGCTGTTGTTGTTTTTGGGTTTTGGTGGGTTTTTTTTCTTTCCTCTCCCTCCTCCTACCCACTTGTAAGTATGTAATATCTTTTGAGAGCATTGCTTACAAGCATTGTTGTTCTTAGTGTTTTGGAAAATGTTCTTTGCATTGCTTGTATAGTAAATTCTCAAATAGTTAACTCTAGTAGCCATGGTGCACTATTTGAACTTTTCTGGCCTTATCGATGGAGAGGTCTTGATGAGTAATTTATGGTAGTGAACTGATAGTTTTGGGCATGTTTTTATAGTTCGGGGTTTTTTTATATAACTTTTCTGCCAAGCTAGACCCTTGCAAGCAGTGTTTGAAGAGAAGTGAGGTGTATTTGTTTACACCTGGTTCTGTGAGGTATCTGTTATATAGATTCATCTACCCTGCAGTGACCAACTGTGAAATTCTCCATACAGGACTCTGAGTAACAGAACCACGTTTTCTTTTGTGCGTGAAGAGAAAAGTGCAGCTATTAGGATTCTTACAGGTTTACTATGCAAGTGATTGTGTATGGAGTGCTGCAGCTGCCATTCATCCCTTCGCTAAGGTTTGGTGTACTGCTGAAGAGGCTTGGCTGTGTTATATTAGTATCCTTTAGAGTTCTCACAGTCATCTTCAAGTAGTAGGGCATGTTTCTGTAGTCTTACTCGCAATGACAATGTTTTTTAGAGAAATGAGCAAATTTAGTTCTGTGGAAGTCTGCGTAGGGATTGTTATTACTCAACTGTAAGCCTCTGGAAATGAAGACATGAGCAAAAAAAAAATATCTTCCTTACATGATGATTTTTATATTACTCTCTTACATATTCTTTTATGTCCACAGAACAGGTTTGTTTACTCCAGATATGGCGTTTGAAGCCATTGTTAAAAAACAAATAGTCAAGCTGAAAGGACCTTGCTTAAAAAGTGTGGATCTGGTGATGCAAGAGTTAATCAACACCGTCAAGAAGTGCACTAAAAAGGTAACATGCAAGTAGCTCTGGTAATGCAAGTACAGCATAATGGTATAGTAGATAATATAAAGCCTGTTTTGCAATTTACAGTATTGTAAGAGATTTCTGATCTAGTCGCTTGATGTACAGAGTAAGACTCTAAAGTAATTACAGCTTCTGCAAAACTCTCAAAACAATGTAATGCTGGAAATGTTCAGTTTTTGATTCCTGCATTTCGAATATATATATACACACCCCTTATGATTTGAGTTTTTTTGAGTCAAGAGTTGCCCCCAGTTTCCTCTTTAAAATCATGGGTTCCTTGATACCGAAAATGGAACGTAGGCAGCGATTCCATGGATGTGTAAATCAGCAAAAAAATTGTACTTTCAAGTTTTCTAATGCTAATAAGAGGAAGAAATGGTGAAACTTTCCTATAGCAAAGGCCCCAAATGTGTTCAGAGACATCTATCAAGGAGAGAAAAATTCTCTTTCAATATAGAAACTTTACGGAGTAGCACCACAGTTCTTTGCAATGTAATGAGTCCACAATTTCTCCTGTGCTTTTTTCATACACCACCCCAAAATGTCTGATCTCCTCCTGTCAAGAAGTCAGAAATAGAAAGCTAGGAAGACTTTGTCTCCCTTGTATTTGTACATCCTTGCGTTAGTGTTGACAAATGAGCTTGCTGCACAGAAATGTTGAACGTTTAAGTGGAAAGAATTGCCGAGCATTGAACTTCCTGATGTGAAAGTTGTGTGCATCAATTAAATTTTTAATTCAAGATCCTGAAAGTGTAATAATTAAGAAATATGTTCATCAAAACTAAACATAGCATTACTGTGAGCATTTGGGAATGGTTTTCCTGAAGTGTGTGCTTGGGTTGGTGTATATACTCGTAGAATGAAACCTCAAACTTCAAATGCTGCAAGCTGTGACTAAGGAAGCATGTCAGATATATTACTATGCAGCTTTTTTTTCCTCACACTTTTCACTTTGATAGGAAAATTGCCATCTCTAAATACTGCGACTCACTTGTCCGGAACATTGGCAACTAACAGTTGCTGATTTTCAGTTCTCTTTTCTCCCACTTCTCTGATATTCTAGTAGATCCCATTGACCCTTGTAGACTTCTTAGCTAACTGGCTGCTTTTGTTGTCGCACTTTCTGTTCATCTGTCTCTCCCACCGTCTCAGAGTGCAGGGTGCTCTAACAGTAGGAAGTACAGGAACGGTTCTGGGATGTGCCCACAGGTACACTGCAAGTTGTTGAGAAATATCCTGTCACACATCCTTTACATTTTTCTGAATAATGCAATTTTTTTTTTGTACCAATGATGAGCTAAAGGGGCTATTTCTTAAAAAAAAAAAAAAAAAGGAAAGGGTGACAATCTTTTTGACAAAGATCATGGAGAAGCAGATTCATCACAATATTTTGAGCAGAGTTTCCAGGTTTTATGACTTTTGTCAAAGTTTGGAAGATATGTCACTTGAATTAGTTGTGCAGCCTCTTTTCCCAGTGCTGTTGGCCAAATTTACTGTTGTGTTTTACTGTTTGAATTTTTCAGTATTGCTATTGCGATGTAAAGATGTTGCCACAAGGTGGAGCCTTCAAAGAACAAGAAACTTGGACATTATTTAAATCGCCATTCTTGAATTAGGCACAGTAGAAGAGAGAGGCATGGAGAAACCTCACCCCAAGACTGATAAACTGGTTTACGTGCCCAAAATGCCTTTTTCTCAATGTTCAAGGGAGCAAAAGCACAGTAATTGATCTCTCTAGTTTCTCTGGAAAATGATCATTAATAGCAAGTAAGGCTTGCTTTGTAGCATAGTTAACTTTTAGCCCAAGCATTTGTAATAATTGCTTTCTTCCAAAGATAAAAGCTGGAGCTTCCCTGTTTGTATTCTACTGAAGCCTCCCTGCAGGTGTAAATTTCTACTAATTTTGCTTTTCAGTTGGCAACATATCCAAGGTTGTGTGAGGAAACAGAAAGAATTGTTGCTGGCTACATTCGTGAAAGAGAAGAGAAGACCAAGGATCAGGTGAGAGTAAATAGGAGATCTAACAGTTTGGGGAAGTGTCAGGAGGAGAGTTGTTACATACAAAGTTCAGTGAGATAATGAAAAATTTTTTTTTTTTTTAAATTTTCCCCTCCAGCAGGCTGCACGTTTTAGAGGGGGAGAGAAATTGCTCATCTACCATTAAGCTTTGACAAAGGACACTAGAATTGTTACTGAAAATCTTAATCTGGTCTTTCAAGATTAGGATTGGTGGCTTTAAAGTAGCATTGGTTTATTCCTGTGCCACAGTGTGCCATCATCTTAGCTGTTTGTGGGAAATCGATTCACGATTAAACAAACGGACATAGAAATACCCAGTCTTTTTCCTACTTAATTTCTGTTTGGTGTTTGTTTTTTTTTTTTTTTAAGCATACCAATCCCATGTTCTAATTACAGTGAGGCCCACAGGAATGGCACCGGGACTTTTTCAGGAGTGACAAGCCATGTAGCGGATGCGTGAGGTCCAGCAGTGGTTGCTGCTGAAGGTCTGTGTTGCTGAACAATAGTGTCAGCACACAGGTTGAGCTGAGTAACTTAGCCCTGTCTGTCTCTGACCATGTTGACAGGCTTGCTGAGATGCATGGTGTAGAACGGCTGGAACTGTGGGCTATTGTGTGCTTTGAAAGGCAGCGTCTCAAATCTGAAAATTAATAAAGTAATTTCTTCTTTGGGTTCTAAAAGCAGCAAGAAAAAGATTCCTCCTATGGCCATTCTAAAAGGCAGGGACTGCTATCAAGCTGATAACTTTAGGTTGTGATATTTTAAACATTTGTTAATTTCAAGCATTTGTTAACCAGCACAATTCCAGGTTCATGGATGTACAGCTTTTCTGAGCATTGTTTTCCTTGAAGTTTTTTAAAAAATAAATAATTTAGAGAAACTTCATTAGAACAGCTAAGCACTCCAAATCCAGGAAACTTCAAAGCTTAGATTACATGTGAGGGAATCCACTGGATGTGGAAACAGGAATTATTATCTGGAGAGTGCTGAGTGTGACAACAGAAATATTTGAGGAAGAAGGGCTAGGCAGAGCTCCTAAGTTGTTCTGGACTCCTGACTCTCTAGTCCTGTGTGAGCTAGGGAGCTGTGCAGCGTGTCCTGCTTCTTTTCCTTTATGCTGTGCTGTGAATGTAGTCTTAAAAATAATTTAAAAAAAATGTATTTGCTGGGCTTGTACTTGCAGGGAGTTCTAGTTGGCACAATCAGTTATTTCAAAATTTGGAAGAAGATACAACTTATTTAGAATAATTGATTCTTTTTTCTTATTATTCCATTCTTCATTGTGTGCACATACCTGGCAATTTCCCAGAACAAAGTACAAAATACCAGCTTTCTGTAAATGCCAAGAATTGGTCAAATAGGTTATTGTCACATATTCACATCGTTATTTATGCTGTTAGCAGTTATTGTTAATAAATCAAAACATTAGTGAGGATATTTTCAGAGGTAAGAGCTAGACCCAAACCCCTGCTATCTTTTGCTCTGAGTGAGGCACTTAATATCTTCTGGAAATTGTGAAGAATTTGGGAGTGATGCTGTGTTTGAGGAGCTGTACAGAAATAACCGTACTCTTTAAGGAGATTAAATGCTACCATTTGGCAACAATAGGTTTCTTCCTTGTTCCCTGCTGGTAAATGGAAGTCTGAAAAGATGGAGTGAAAGTGCAGTCTCATGTATGTTCAAGAAGCTGATCAGGGGTGGGAGTAAGCTTTCTTAGATGTCTCAGTAAGTTCTTTGCCAAGTTAAATTATCAAGTTCAAACCAAATTCTATCTCTGAGCCATTGAAGGACTGGCAAGTGGTAAGTACACTAGACATTCATTCTGTTATTTCATTGACTAGCCCATCTCTCAAGCTAGGTGTGTGCACCAGAATGACTGTCTAGTGTACCTGGACTGTACATTTTCTGGGCCAGGGCTAGCTTGCCTATGACTTTTTTGTGTAGTACCTAAAGAAAATTTAGGTATCCTGATTTTAGGTTTAAGGTTTGTCTTCCCTGCTGGCTTGGCTGGAATGCTACAAATAGACAGAATTTTGCTTATCTTGCAAAACGTAGAGCTAAAATCTATGTTAGATATTATTAAGCTCTGTCTGACCACGTATGATTGATCTAATGAAGTGGACAAGGGCCAAGATGTTGAAAAATGAGGTCTGTCAGGAAAAAAAGAGGAAGAGGGAATTGCACTTCTGTAGTCTAGTTTATTAAAGAAGCACACAAATGGAAGTGGTGAGATTTAGAAAATATTGTTGCTTTTGGCTTGAATGATTATCAATGTAATATTCAGTAATGCAGAAATCTCAAAAGTTCTGTTCTTTTCTCTTTTCCTCAATCTCTCTTCTTGACCTTACCCATCTTTTTTTTTTTCTCTCTTGTCTGCCCTAATAGGTGCTGCTACTGATTGATATCCAGGTTTCTTACATCAACACCAACCACGAAGACTTCATTGGCTTTGCAAAGTACGTATGTAGAGACTTTGTTATAAAGACACTGTCATTTTTTTGAGTTTTTTTTTCTTACTAAGTTTGAAACATAAGTCCTGAAGCGTGACAGTGAAGATGCAAGCTGCAAAGTCCCAAGCATGCAGGAGCATGCTCCTTCTCAACATACACAATGTTGAACTCTGTCCCACCTGTAGGGCATTCTTTACCCCAGTTCACAAGCCTGGTTTTGTGGAAGCTGAAGCTTATGTCTTGGTCTGGGATCCCATACATCTCAGGAAGCAGCTTTGGCAAGCCAATGCCCTCACTGTATCCATTTTAGGACCACAAGAAATATATAATATTGGTGGTCTTTCCACATTGTTGCTAACGCATGTTTTGGGAGCTGTGATTCCGTGTGAAACAGTTTTGTGCAGAGAGATGGATGTCACTGAATTATAAGTGTGCCTGCTGTTTGGCTGTAAAGAATAATAGTAGCAGAATGCCCTGCAGGGCCTGATTTGATGTTCTCTTCACTTAATTGAAGAGGCTGTGAGAATATTCTCCAGAATGTTCTTCCTCAGCTTCCAGCAATTTGTGCCTCAGGGACTTCATACCAATGTTTTGACACCAGTAAAAACATTAAAGATGTCTTCGCTCTTTGAAGAATGAATGTTCCTTCAGTCATATTCATGCCATATTTGCCATAAAAGTGTTTGGAATCACAGCAGGTTTCATCCATGTGGGATGCTGGCAACAAAGTTTGACACCACAGTACGTATTGTACTATGGCATGTTCTAGTTAGCACTGTGAAGGAAGGCCTACATCTTTGGCAGTATGTCCTGAAGGTTTAAAACATGGAGTTCAGTAAGCTGGGAAGGAGAGAAGGCAAAGCTAGGCACTGCTTATGTGTTTGGTTTGAACAACTTTCTCTAGAATTGTTTGCAAGTCCTAGATATCTTTATCAGTTCTCTTGACAAATGGCAGGATGTTGTAGGAATGGTAGCTGGCCTTCTAGAGGTCAAGATAACAACCTGCCTGCTATTTACTTCTCTTCATCCTTTTCTGACAGGAAAAAGCCTGCTAAAAACACTCCATATGTATTCATGGTGTGTGTTGTGACCTTGGGAAGTCACATAGTCCCACCTCCTGCTCAGAGAAGGGTCAATGCTGAGTTCAGACCAGGTTACTCAGGGCTTTGTCCAGTCAGATCTGGAAAACTTCCAAAACCAGAGATTCTCCAGCCTCTCTATGCAGCCTGTTCCAATGCTTGCCTTTCCTCCTGTGAAAAGACTTTTTCTTGTATCAAGTTGGAACCTTCTGTGTCTTACAGTCTTGGATTCTGGAATGTCAGGTGTATCTGGAGCTGTTTCATTATGTCCCTCCCCTGGAAAAATCCCCCTCAGGGATGCTGCTGCGGTAGCCTGTAGTTCAGTCCATGGTCCTCACTGCTGCATCTTTTCCAAGAAGTTGCAATGCCTGAGTTCAGTTTCTTGGGAAAGCTGCTTCCTCTTTCGCCAGTTGAGATACAGAAATCCCCGGCCGCTGTGTGCGGGGTATAAGCAGATAACAAATAGCTCTTCGCTTAAGTTTAGATAAGTTTAAGCAAGTATTTCTATAGGTTGAAACTGATGAGAAGGGAAGTATCTTTGTTGACATGTGTTCAACTGGAAGAGACAACTTGGATAGCTAAGAACAATTTAAAATATATTAATTTAGGAGCTAAACAGTAGAAAATACACATCTTAAACTATAATGTTATAGCAATTATAACTGGAAAATGAAACAATTTTTGGGTAGCATATGGGCTTCTGCAGTATCTGAATGTCCTGGACTATAAATTCTTCAGGTTCCCTAGTGGTTTTTTTCTTCTGCTGAGTCTTCTAGCCAGTTGTCTCATGTGACTGCAGTGTTTTATAAGTGTAAGTTCCGTGAACCTTGTTCACAAGAACAAGGGCACAAGACGTTTCAAACTACCTTGCAGTGTTGAAGGGCCTAAGGCAGGTACAATGTGATGTGAATTGACTTGAGAAGGATTTAAGAATGGCAAATTTTAGAACAACGTTGCATAATTATGAAATCTAAGAATATTGATGTTTGTCTCATTTAGCATAATGAGTGGTAAAACGGGATTGGGTTTGTTTCCAGTTGGTGTAACTCAGACATAGCTACATGCTTCAATCTACATAAAGAGTAATTTGTATTTAGAACAGTAAATAGAGGACTAATTGCTGGCTGTGTCTAACAGGCGTGGGTTTCTTAGTATGATGCTAGTGGTCTAATTAGCTTTCCTAAGGCAATAAAATAAAGTTTAAAAAACCCCACCAAAACCAAACCTAAAGAACGACAATTAGGTTTCCTAAACCCATCTCATGTTAGTGCTGTGTTTTGTGTGTGCATGTTATTTAATCATAATTCATGCACCAAAGCTTATGTAACTCATGGTGCACCAGAGACATATGCAGTGTTACTTGGTCAAAAGGATCTGGATGATTGAGAGCTAAGCCCAGTGAATAGGCACGTGGAATAAACATCCTTGTGGATCTTCTCGGACACCATGTGAGCTGCTGGTTTGATAGAGTATGATCCAAAGTGCGGAATCAGAGTTGGAATGGGGCTCAGTTTGAACAGCAGCTGTGCACAAAACAGTTGCAGGATTGGCCCATAGGCTGTGATCCAAGGACATCTTTTTTTCTTACACTTTCAGAGCAGCGCTTGTAGCTGATCTGATATGTATGCTTTTTTTCTTCAGTTAATGAAGCCTGGTGAAATGGTATAATCTAATCCAAACAAAACTTCCTGTCACCAGTGGCTGCTTTGGTGGTTAAGTAGCCAAAGCCTGCTCTCTGAATGCTTTTCTTCCTCTTTCCAGCAGTATTTTAATTTTGTGGCCTAACACAAACCGCCACATAATGCAAATGCTTTTAGAATGAAGGGCAACTTGCATGTTTTTGAGACAGGAGTGCGTTTTGCTTCAGGAACTGGGATTACTAGAGATGAAGAATTGAGCAAAATACTTTAAATATGGTTTAATTTCAAATACGCTCCATTCTTACACGATTCCAGCTTTTTGAACCAGCTTTGTGATGGCTTCATCCATTGGTTATATTTACACCCTCAACATGCATATAAATATTAGAATAATATCCAAACCAAACTGGCAAAACAAAGCTATTAAGGAGCCTCCAGCAGGGGAGGATTTTGTTGTACTGCACTAAATAACAGAAATGGCTTGCTTTTTGTCTCTTTTGAATATTTATAGAGGCTAATGTTTCCAAAATGACCCACATGAGCCGTAATTTGGCTGTGCTTTTAGTAACCTTTACCAATCCAAGTAGGATGTTGTTACAAAGGGGATGTAAGAGCTGTCTGCTGTGCATGTCCCTTCTGCCCTAAGCAGGCAAATACAGGCAGGCATTCTTATACTGTAAGAAAAAGTAGTTGAAACGTGCATATGTGCAATTATTTTGCTCTGTTTCTTTGTTACTCTAGCTTTCTGTGCTGGAATCAGATGTAACTATTACCGCTAAAATTTGTTCCTCAGGAGCTGACTTAGTTTGAGTTTCTTCAGTGTAACTCTTTTCCTCTGCTTTCCTTAGTGCCCAACAAAGAAGCAGTCAGGTTAACAAAAGTGCAGTGGGAAATCAGGTAGGCACCTAACAGAGAATGGATAATGGCATGTGCAAGTTAATCCAAGCTGTTTGGTTTTCTTGGCTGTATTTGTTGTAAGTGCATCACTTACCTTTTCTGCTTCAAACATGTATCAAATGCGTCATCATTGGCTTGTTTTACTGAATTATTTTAGAGCCACCTGACTTTCATTGTTATCATTTATCATTTAATATCCCTCTGCTCCTTGCGCTGCTGGTTTGTGTCTCCCCTCTCATGCCATTTAGTGCATTGAATCTTTCACGTTACACATCAACATATTTTGTCATTAACTGTAAACTTGTGAATTTCAGAATCCAAAATTCTGGTGAGTACTTGCTGTGCTTTTGTCATAGTTGTTTTACTAGTTCTTACGTGTTCACAGCTTAATAGCAGCGAGGGGGCAATTCAGCAACCAAAAGCCGTTTTGCCTTTATCTCTTCTGAAAACTTTCAGTTGACTTAACAAAGATCTTGACTATGTGCCACAGGCCTCTCTCAATATAAACAAAGAATTACTGGTTGATGGCCTCAGATTATTTAGCATTTTCATGGAGATTCATTAATGAAATTACTTGTTGGATTCTTTTTATCACATAAGAATATGGGATTGATTCTGCAAGAGGCTAAGTGTTCCCCAAGCTTTGCTTCTTTCTTTGCTTTTGTGTGGGCCAGGGATGCTCAGTACTTGACAGGATCAGTCCTGTTTTTTATATGAGATGAAAATAATGAAAATGCTACAACTTTGAGGATTTCTGCTCTACTTTGAGGGTTTTGCAAAGTCTTAAACAGAAAGAAAATGTTATGGAATTAGTACATACTTTAGAAGGATATAAAAAATTCTAGTAAAAATAAGACAATGAAATTTTGTATAAATCATTACCCAAATTGAACATCTATCTTATATTTTCTTGTGCAATTTGGTCAAACAATGCTCAGGAGTGAAAGGTCAAGGTTTTCAAATGTGACCGCTGAGTTTAGATCCCTCAGATGATAACCCTGAGATTTTGGAAAGTCTCCTATTCTGCTGTTGTAGATGAGAGTACTAGCATTTTTTGAAAACTTAGTCATCTTTTTTGAGGGATAGAAATCCAAACTCTTCCTCCCACCAAGAAATTGCTAGTTATTTTTGAGACGTTAGTTAAAATGATCCATTAACTTCTTGGATGTGATGGTCCCCCAGAGCCTGACCAGTGTGAGTGGCATTTTTGATGTAATATATGGTTTGGACTAAAATGAAAAAAGTTGAAAGGTCTAAACACTGAAATGGCTTCAAAGACTAGTCTCTCCCCTCTGAGGACAGATTTCCTTCTTATCTAGCTGTGCCGGAACACGTGTCAAACACAACAACCGTCATTGCTTTGGAGTGTCCCATAAAAGGAAAATTGACCAGTTATCTGACTCTTCAAAAATACACAAATAAAATTAATGATTTTTTAATTAAGTGAATGTTTTCTCTCTAAAGAAGTGGAGAAAAAGCTTGGTGTTTTAAATAAAATGTTGAAACTGGATTACTTTTGGTATAAAGGACTTTGCTGAACCTTTTATTTTAAAAGATAATAAGCAGATGTTTGTAAGTTAATTGTATGGAGTTGAAAAGAATGAGAAAATGTTTCTGAAATAAAACTTCATTCTTGCAATTTGCTATTTCAGGGAACCAATCTACCGCCTTCAAGGCAAATTGTACGAGCTAAGTTCTGTAAGCTTTATTGTTGCTTTTTCATTTAGCTTCTCAGAGGGCAAAGTTTGTCTCTAACTCATTGGTTTGTTGAATACTTGCTACTAAACTACTTAATATTTAACTGTCTTGTCTGTAACACTTCCTCAACAAAGTGTAATTGCAGTTCATCACTTAACTGCTACTAACCTGCTGTTACAAGTATGAACTAGTATAACAATGTTATAGAAAACTTTGAATAAAATTAATATTTTATAATTCACTGAGTTTCTCAAACTAAAATGACTAATCGATGTTTGTTTTATTATATAACTGGAAAGCACTATTTATCTGTTGTAAGTTCCTCTATTCATAGGAAACCTCTTTTTGAAAGGCGGGCAAATAAGTTTCTGGTAACCGAAAGGAAACATTAGCTATTGCTTAAATGAACGTGCTGTTTATGGGTACAGGTACTGTTATTGGTGTTTTGTTTGTACTAAGGAATTACTTCTGATAGAAAAAGTGAGTTTTATTAATAGACTTAGAAATATTTAAAGACTTTTCAGCATTCTTTTCATAGCACCAGGAGGATCAGTACATCATGGACAAACTCCTTTCTAACCCTTTCCACCTCATGAGTAAATAAATATGTGAATGCCTTTAATATTACTAATTAGAATTAATTGTCTAAACAGCAGTTAATTTGATAACAAGTTATTCCTGGTTCAGTGGTGGTTAGGTGTAAAAAGTAAATCTCTATCTTGTGCATTCTTTGGTAATATCTATGATGAGAACGCATACATTTTTCCAGTTTGTTGCCACATCATCAAATTATATTCGTTACCATTTCAAACAAATTTAAGCGTTCAATAAAGGAAAAAGGACTAGGGCAGCACTGATTGTAACAGCAGTTAAATTGAATCTCTTGGGAAATCAAGATCTTTAAGTTTTCCCAAAATAGTGGGATGCTCAGTTGCAATTCATTGCTTTTCTTTTTTGTAGCTTGCTTTGAACTGGAATGGTGCAGATAACTATTAACTATTCCTGTGTATCTCAGAAATAAGATGAGTACAGCAATATTGCGTTTTTTCGAAGAAGTGTAGTGCCTAATTCCTCTTAACATGTTTTTGCGCCTTTTTCCTCTACTACTAATTTATCCTCTCACGCTTAATCTTTGGCCTTTTTTGTTTATCTTTTCTTTGCTACCGCCTGAGGTTTTGACCTGACTCCACAAAGTTTCTTTTTAAGCCGCAGGTTAGTCTGTCTTCTAATTTGCCTGAAATAATCAGTGTAATGCTTGGTTTTACACAGCACGCGAGCAAGGTCGGGTTCCTGAAAGCTGACTCGCTCGTAACTGTGTATTCCGTGTGTTGAGACTTGTTTTGGTGACTGAAATGTAATGTTTAAAGCTCCTTTCATGATAAACTTTCAAAGATGAAGGTGTCATTGCTCAATGTGCCCAATTGATGCTCAGTGTGTGAAAGTGCAAGATATTAATTTATGGAGGATTATATATAATTTATACGAAATTCTGTTTTCTGTTTCACTTCTGCAGCAAAATCTGCTGCTTTGCTTGAAGTAGCCCCTGTAGTTGGAGAAGGGGCTTAATCGGGACTATGAGTTTCTAGTCACTATCCAAATGATTTGGAGGTTTGAGTTCCAAGACTTTGTTTGACCTGCCTCTTTTACAATGCTACGCCAGCAATCTGGTCCGCTTGTTCTGGACACAAGTAGCATTCAAGCCCCATCAGTTGGCCTGAACTATTGTGCTAATAAGTAACTTTTTCCCTGGTAACCCCTTTTTTCTTTTTAATCCTGCTTTGTAGCGTACCTTGCTGCTTCTTTTCTTCAGATATACTTAAATTCTGTTACCTTGCATGACTCAGGAAAAAAATACGTTTACAGGATTTTTTTTAAGCTAGTAGATGTACATGGAAAATTGCGACATGGTCAGTGAGATGATCACAAAAAATCATGACAAAGTTGTTCTGTTAAGATATGTCAGTGTTTCTGCAAAAGAGGTGGTGCCCATGGACAGCAACATGATGTTAAACTTTGAAATATCCTTGAATGAGACATGCTGCTGTTGAATTCTCACCTTATAAAGACTAGAGAAGTATTGCCGTTCTAAATGGCCCTTAACTATACTTTTTTTTTTTTGCTTAATATTCCTTCATTAAGGATTAATCACCTCAATCTTTGTTTAACTACATCTGGAAGCATATTTCAACTTTTCTCTACTGAGCGTTTTGCTTCAGTAAAGAATAAATTTTTCTTTAAAGTAGAAGTGTGTTTAGGACTTAAGCTGCTATCATTATTTTTAAGTTATGCAATATATTGTGCAGTTTTTTAGGGAAGCAACATCATTTCAAGAAGATCTGCTCTGATACTGAGCACAAGGTCTTGTTTGTGTTCAGTATCGGAACAGATCTCATCAGTTTATGCTCTAACATTTGGCAAATTACAGTGAAATACTGTACTAGATTTCCCCTCTAATCTGATCTTCCTTTTTAGTCTCTGTAGTGCAAGAATCTTCATATTTGAACCCAAAGGGCCAATGGCTTGTGAGGATGCCTCGCAGAGTAGTTTTTGCAACTTTTGTTTTCCCAGTGTGCTTACTATTTGGTAACGTGTGCTGTTGTCACAGTTAGAAGGTAGCGTAGTGCTGGGAGTTGTGTCGTGTGTTCAAAATAATTTCAGTGGACTTACGTAACATAACTTTAGTAGAGAGTTACGTTAACAAATGCTGCCTCTTGTATCGTTGCAGAAGCAGCCAGTCTCATGATATTCACACGCATATTTGTCTGCCCAGCCACTTTCACTTACCTCTCACTTATCTTGAAATCATCTTTCAAATACTTCTTTAAAAAAAAATAGAACACTTTGAGAGTTTCTAATATATTTCTTTTACAAATACCTTATTTGATTTAATGGAATGAAGAAGTCATGCAGCAATACATAAAATGGACCTACTGTGTCAAATCCTGCTTTCCTGTTTATTCATGAAGTGGTGGAGAATAAGAACAACAGATATGATTTGGGTTTTGTGCAGCTGAACTATCAGAAAATGACTTCCTTCTGGCTTATTCATGTGCATTCGTACCCTCTAAGTTTCATTTTTCAGACACCCAGATTAGGTATCAGGACCCTGAAGGAAGGAACTGTGTCATCTCTTGTTCATCCTGTACGTGGAGTCCAACTACCGGTCAGAATATTGTCTTCACTAGCTCCTGGCAATGCCCATATTTTTCACCTTCCTGAAGTTCATAACTCATGTCACTAATATCCGGTTTGCACAGAGTGACACTTAGAAATATGGTAGAAAATATTGAAATGGATCTCTTAAATCCAAACCAACCAGAAAATGAACTAGTGAAAACAATAATGAAACACACTACTTGCATTTTCAAGCTGAAGTACTATATAACATAGCTAACACAACAGTTTAAAAACACATCCACACATCCCCATCAGAGTCTTTTTAACTTCAAAAGTCTCTTTGAAAATCTTTGCTGCTTAGTGTCCATGGAAGGACACTTATTTCTAAAATACAGCTTGAGTTATTTTTTTGAGAAATTGTCTGGATCTAAGGTATAATTCAGCTTCTCTGCAAAGTAAAACTATGTTGCTTAATCTCACTTTGTTTTGCGCTTACGCCTTCATCTGACATCTCCCTCCCCCCTGACCCCAACACTGCTACTGAGTATTTTGAAAGTGTAGTTTTTTGTAGTTAACAAAAAAATGTGCCTGGGAAACAGGAACAATTCAATGAAAAGAACATGAGGCTTAGCACACCAAGCTCATCTTCTCTCTCTTGATGTCCCCTGGAGCTGCTTCCAAGTATTTTGGATAATTGTGATCCTTTGTAGTGTCCAGGATATTTTATAGAACACAGGACCTCGTTTTCGCAGAGGGGTATAGATAAATAGGTCTAGAGATTTGCACATGAAAAACACATACCCAAGATATTCCTACAGCTTGATGCCCTGCCCTGCTCCTCATGCAATGCTGTGTGGGAATGACAGCTGGATCTAATCCTCAGCACACAGGATTTTTGAGGAAACAACTGGCAAATTCCTTCCTTTACAAGACAGTGACCAATGTTTGTATTAGCAAGTCAGCTTGTTTCTGTCCACACCCAGTGATGGTTATGCATCCATGGAGAGATGTGTTGGACTGGAGCAAGATGGTCTTTTGGAGCTGTGTAACTAATGTAGTTCCTACATTAGAAGTACTAAAAACTTCATTACTTCTTAAATGGCTTGTATAGTTTAGATTTTAAAATCTTGTTTTTGTCTGTTCTGGGACCTCTACCCAAATGTATTCTTGTCAAATAGGGAAAGCACTGAAAGGAATAAACAGAGTGTGCTACTTCCCTTTTAAGTGCTCATCACCTGTAAGGTTCTTCAACATGCCACTTGAGTGTTTCTCACTGGTTTGCTTCTAGAAAGCATCTCTTTAGCCTCACTGTGACATCTGTCTTCAAATTTTTTACTGTCTCTATGAAGTGTGTCCAAACAAGTTTTCAGTAATGTGCTGGCCTGGCTGCCTGTGTTTCTTGTGTGTGGCTATATGCTTTATAGGCAGCAACACAGCATTTTCAGTTGGAGTCAGCATGGTTCAACAGCGTACTCTCCATAGCCTTTTAGTTGCTTTACAACATGGGAATAACCGCCTTTGCACATTTGCTGTGAAGTATTTAGTCTGCTGTGCAAATATAGCTCACCTTGTTGTGGAGCTAAATTCAAGTGGTTGAGGAACCTTAATTTCCTAGATTTTTCCTGAATTTTCTTCCATTTGCATTTGTGTAGTTCAGCACAGAAAAAAAAAAAAAAATTAGCTTGGTTCCACAACTTGTTCTGTGGCAGCTGCCTGAAGGCGGCTATGTACACGTTGCGCGTTTCCTGTTGAAAGTTTACTTCGATAAACATCGTAAAATGAAATCAGGATTTGATCAGTAATCAAGCTCATACCAGTATGTTTTGCTTCACTTGGACAAGCGTTGCATGTCTATTTGTAGCGCTCCCTCTACGCGCTTCCCCCCCAACCCCCCCAATGAACATGAATATTAAAAATAATGACAAACTTCTGCAGAAACCTTTGTGATAGGGGCTGTTCTACCTTTGTGATACAGGCTACTCTATCCAGTCTTCTCGGGCCACACCTTTTGAGTCTCTCTGCAGGCGTCATGTCCAGTTCTCTCCTAGCTTACTCAGTCTTCAGAACCAAATTAACGCTTTCTTAGCAACTTTCTTACAGATTGAAAACCGGTAGACTGGTTTTGAATCTTCAGTGGTTTTCTTACTTCTTTGAAATGAAATCGATGCTCTTGGATTATGTGCCTTACCAATACTTTTACCAGCTTTTCAGGTGCAGCTTCTGATCTCTTTCTTTGGTTTAGTTATCAAATATACCTTAGTCCATTGCTCTGTGCAATACCAAAGCTGGTTTCTTCAGGGAGCTTACGTTAACATGCATGCTGAGTGGGAGGGAATTCCGATTCATTTTATAGATGACAAGGAATAGATATTGAACGTTTTTTTTTTTCCTCTGATTATCTGTTGATGTCAGAGTTACTAGTCTTGTAAAGTTCTATGAGAGGAATGTCATAGTCTTCTATATTTCCCTAAAAGCAAGAGGAAACTCGTGTGATCACACAAGTCCATGCCTGTGGGACTTACTGAGGGATTTCTGAAGGGCTTCCCTGAGCACTTCTTCTTTCTACCTCAATACGTCATAGGCAAGCAAAGGGTGTTGCTGTAGAGAGAGACAGAGTGGCTGAAGTTCCCTGCATCTGTGTGGCTGGGAGAGTTCTATTGTCTTGTTCAGAGTATGATAGGAAGGAATGTTTGCTTTCTCATGTATTTATTAGAAAACTGTAAATGTTCCAATAAAATTGAAAATTTCTATCCGTATGATCTGTAAACTAGTTCTCATGGCCATTCTCTCTTCTCCTTCGCATCTGCAGTTGTCTCATTCCTCTTAAGTTTTCTTTTGTCCCTCTTTCTCTTTGCATGAGGCAGCCTCCTTGCCTTAGTATTTATAGATGTGCTGTTCTCATCTGTTCTTTCATCTTTGTCTTGTATCTATTTTATAAAGTTCTGCTTTACTCAATCTCCCAGTGATTTTTGTTGCCACTTTTTTTTCTCTTCTACCTTATGAGAAGAAAATAGCTCTCCTATACCCCTCCTTACCACTTCCTATCTTAATTTCAAATTAACTGTAGGAGACCTCTCTACTTTTTCACTTGATTCAATCCCTTCTGAAAATTCTGAGTGCATGCCAGAAGCTACTCGCTTTGCCAGAATGTAGGTGCTTTTCCTGGGATCCAATTTTACGAATGACCTTAACGGTTAGACTAGAGCAGAGTGGTCACATATAAAGTTGTATGTACTTTTGCAATGTGCTATTATACAGCAAATAAATATCTTCAGGTTTACGTGATCCTTAACACGCTCATACTTACTGTAAGTACGACACAATAATACTTAGGCTTCTCTCATTCTCCAACTTTTTGGCTGAAAACACTATATTCACTTTGTTACGTTTTTTGTTTTCTTGAGTCATAGGAACCTGCAAAACCTCTTGAATTTGCCAGAGACTGAAAAAATGTACCTGTTCTTGTTTTATTTAGTGAGTTTGTATTTAAAAGAATGAATGCAGCAGCAGAAGTATGTTAAGTGAGTAATGAACTAAACTTGTGCCTGACTGCACCTCTGCACAGGTCATCCGGAAAGGCTGGCTGACCATCAACAATATTGGCATCATGAAAGGAGGATCCAAGGAATACTGGTTCGTTCTAACTGCAGAAAGCTTGTCCTGGTATAAAGATGATGAGGTAAGGAATCAAGAACTTTTTTCCTACTGGGGAGAAAACCCAGTATTTATTCAGTCTTCTGATAACAGCTTTAAAATATTAAATCAGCTTGTACAGACTTGAACTGAAAGACTGTTTTTTTAAATTTTCTGGTTTTGATTCATGGAGAATGCTGACTCTCTAAGACTTCTGCTGAAATGCTGATAACATAAATACAGGGTGTTGTGTGGGGTGTTTTTGTTTGATTTTTGGCTTACTTTTTTCTTCTCTTCCTGTGGTTTCCACACATTGGTCTTAAAAAAAAAAAAAAAAACCAAAACAAAACTCTTTTGGAGTGTTCTGCTTATTGTCCCATGCCTGGATGTACTGCTTTTGCATCAACTGTAAATTGATGTAAAATTACTTCTAAAAGTATCTACAACACTTGATTTAATGATAACAATTGTTCTCTGGCCTCATATTTTGAGAGGATGAAAAGCCTGTCTGCAGAGTTCTGTAGCTGGTTGGTATGGATTTTCAAATTTGACAAAAATGCACCTTGGTAGGAAATGTTGCTGCTGCAGTGAATGTGAGGTAAGTAATGTGAGAACTGGAAAAAGCATTTCTGTGATAAAGACATCCAGGTTGCTCACTTTATTGCAGATGTTGTTAGACAGCTCATCTGTTTTGTTTATTTTTTCAGCGATGTTGGTAATGATACACTGTATCAAAACCTCTGGCAGTTTTATCGGTAATTTTTGAAGGTTAAGATGGCATTATGTGTACTGTCAGCTTTACAGTAGAGCCCTTGTGGTGTTTTTAAGGTTTGTGTTGGTGTTCATAGAAAAATTGGACTGCGTTTTTTTTTAAAAAAATCCATTATTTTATCTTTTTTTTTTTTAATTTAAAATGATGTGGTGAGATTAACACCCCTTTCTGTGTTCTGTCTCAAGCGATTGGACGTGCATCCAAGATGCGCTGCGGCAATTTTTTAGGTAGCTTTGGTGTTGCTTTTTTGAGTCTGGTCTTTGTTTAGTGTGAAATGTAAAAATTCCTGAAAATACTTACGGAATGTCTTCTGCTATGCAACTTTAAAAATAAATTGTTTGTTTTGATAGTCTGCTAGGGAGAGTCACCTGGGAATCTCAGAATAGTACATGAAGGGAAGTGGCCACTCTCTGATTTCTATATGCATATTTTAAGATAATGTCTCTTAATTACCAAACAGTTCTGTTTTGAGTCATGAAAATACCAGTAGTTCATTTGGGCCAATATGGGAGATCACTCAGGAATTTCTTAGAGTGGTAAGAGATGATAATAGCGTAGTACTATTCCATGCTTTGCTGGTGGAAGAAGTTCCTCATTGAGTACAGATTTGCTGTATAATTTGATTATTCTGTCCTGGGAAAGACTTCATAAAGTTATGTTGGATTTTTTTTTTTTTTTTATTTTATTGAGCCTTTTTCAGTAGAACTTAAAAGATTAGTAAAGTCTGTTTTAGATGCTTTCTGAAGAAGGTCAAAGCCACAGCTTGACCATTAGATTAGTCAAAAATTGAGTGACTTGTTTCAGAAACAGAACCTACTGGCTTCTGAAAATAAAGTAGTAAATATTTGATCTCCTGGCTGAATTCCAATTTTTATAATTACATTTCGTCTCCTTAAAATGTTCTCCTCACTCTTCAGCTTGGTTTGGTAGTTGTCACATCCTGTTCTCAGATGATTATTGAAATGGCTGCGTGCTGTTTTATTTCCACCCTGGTCAGATACGAAGCCTTCAGTGATGTGTGAAGTGATACCCGTGTTTATGCCCAGGCTCAGCACGGCTGTGCACGCCGTGAGGTCGTAGGGAGTTCAGATCCCCCGTGCCTCCCGCTCGGGCTGGTCACTTCTGCAGTCCTTGCACAGTAGCGAGCGCCTCTCCGTCGCAGCTGGGGAAGACGCAGAAAGTCGGGTCTCGCCTTTGTTCTCCTGCCACAGCGATGAGTTCGTTCCCCCTGCGCCTCTACCCCTGAGTAAGGAATGTTGTAGCAGCTCGCCTACCAGTGAGCTCTGCGAGTGTGCTTTACGAAGCTGGAGTGCTTGCTAGGACCTCGAAGGCTGTGTACCCCCTCTAGTGTAAACCGAGCCCATTTTCTGTAGTCTGGAAGTGAGACGAAAACCACTCTCTGACTGCAAGCGGTTGCTTGCTAGTGCCATTAGAAGGACGTGTGAATGATTCCCTTTATTTGTGAGCTGCAGCTTTTGTAAGTGAAGACTTCACAGAGGAATGTGTTTTGAAGCAAGTGACTTTGGCGAAAGATTTCAAAATTTGTTGTGTGATATCAGTATTACCAAAGGAACGACTGGTTTCTTGACGGAGTTTTGTTGCTGCTCAAACACATAACCAGATTTTATTCCTGATGAGATGGGAATCAGTGCCTAAGAATGCTTTTTAGGCTTATAATTATGAAAATGTCAAGTTGATGTTTAAACAGTGTGGGTAAAGCAGTTACGGTATCAGTTACATGAATACTAATCTGGATTAGTTTATGATCCTGCATACAGTTGCTTGTGTTCATAACTCTGTTGCGTGACCAGTACCACGACTTTGTGCTTTTCCACTTGCTTAAAATCAAGCAAGATTAGCACATTCATTGACCTCACAAATAATATTTTATTTCATAGAGTATTCCATATAATACTAGCTAAAGTATTACAAGACATACCTACACAAAAAAGATGAAATCTGAGCATTTTAGCTCTCAGTTGTTACCACCTCAGGTAGCACAAAAAGCTGTGAGCTTTTGTGCTAAAGTTCGTTTGAGAGTCAACCTGCAAATTTGAAGTTTGTGAATTAGCCACTTCTACATTAGGATAAATGGGAATGTGGAACACCATTCTAGCTTGTGAATCAAAAAGCTCTTTGTGGTAAACAAAAGGATGCCGTGCGTGAAGTGGTGTAGCGTTTTTACAGAGCGTGGTCAGAGAATGTGATTTTATTGTTCTTTCTAAAGCATCCAGAGATTTCACTGACATTGTTGGTGTGCAAAGGATGCAAGCTGGGCTTTAGGAGAAGAACTTCTAAAAATGTGAAATTTACGTTTATTGGAAAAATCCCCGTAGTCTTATTTCCAAATAAAACATTTCTGTTCTGTTTCAATAGGAAAGGATCGTATTGTCATCCAGTGATAGATGCAGTTTGTATTATAATTTCACAGTTTATTCCCAATTGTAAAATTCTGTGTGGTTTGGGAGGGGAAATATGAAAATAAGTGAGGAGGTGAGAGAGTGCAAAGGGGAGAAGTTACTCTAAGGTCTAACAACACTGTGTCTGTTTATGGAATTAGCTTGCCAC